TCTCTGCTGCACTAAATTCTACAACTATTTGTCATTTTACATTATGAGTAAAACATCTTGGGACGATAACGTTATAATTTGGATTAATAACGGTTGTGGGTGAAGTTAGTAATTCCGACTAGAATGTTTCTTCACTGGACTGCCAAAAAGACATAAGGGCCAGCTTGTTTTATGAATTGCCATATCAGCTTTGGGTAGAACTGATATTTAAATTCAGTCACAGTTGATTTTCCTACTACACTTGCTGTACGCAAGAAACAAAATAATATTTTATATCTATACTTTTGATCTTCCCAATTTCTAACAGCTTCCTTTTTTTAACAGGAACTCAACTTGCTTTGGAACATTCTTCCTTCTAAATCCCTATTTGTATTGAAATATTCTATTAATGAAGTTTGCTTCCTCTACCTATATAAAAAACAATAAAACTTCTCTGTATAGAAATTCAATTAGTATTAAACTCTCACAATTGTTTTAATAATGAATCCAGATCAAACAAATATACATTGCCCAGCAAAGAACAGCTTTACATTTTTGCCCAAACACTTGGTCATGTTTCTGAACAGCTGCTTCCAAGTCTCTCAGCTTAGCTTCCCTGAACTTCCTGTCCAGTACAAGATCACAAGGGACTTTGCAGACTCCAGCAACTGCTCATCTACTAACTTGAAGAAAGCAGAAGGGAGGAGAGGAAGCCAGGGGAGAGGGGAGTAGCTGGATTTGCTGTGTGTCTGTGTGCTTGTGGAGACACACACAGCTTACTAGCACACACAAGGGTGACTGCATAGCACTCTGCTTTAGAAAGGAGTCACTCTAAACCAGGAAGTCTGCATCAGTGCTCAGGGGACCAGCTGATTCTGCAGGAAACAAACTTTTAAATATCAAGGCACAGCACAGTAGCCACTCTCCAGAAAGGACAATGTCAGCCTCAATTCAGAGATGATTTGAGAATCTACAGCCCAGCGATACAAATAAGCGAAATGTTTGTTAATAAGGTACTAAGTGATTTTAAAGTCAAAAGGATTATAAGCTAATTCAAATGCAAATGCTAAAAACGACCATGAGCTTATAGCAGAAGAGGGAAAGCCAGCGACATGGCATACTGACATGGCCAGCAGCAAGCGGTTGTGTTCCGCCGCATGCCTTAAGTCGGTGGCAGCAAAAGGGTTAAACCTAGTGGCAACATTTTGGGGAAAGCTCTTCTAGCGTGACTGTGTCCCTGTGCACAAAGTGCAAAGACATGGTTTAACAAAGATGGGGTGGGGGACTAACTCCATATAAATGGCCATGGTTCTAGAATGTCCATTAAGCTCACATAGGTGTGATGAGCAGGTGCCCACAAACTTTTGGTGGTAAGACAGTAACAAGTCTTTTTAATGTGAATAAAAGAAAAACAAAACGCACTCCGATTTTATTTTATTGGGTGCAGTGTCTATCTGGTTCCTGCATATTGTAGAGCTGTGGCAATATTAGTTTGATTGTTATAGGCAACACTTTGTCTTTTTATATTAGTTTGAATGTATGAGATTCGTTATCATGCTTCCACTTTAGACTCTCTGCCGTCTGCTGACAACAGTAATCCAGCTACACCATATGCTCTATCGAGTGTAACCTGAGTGGCTACAATAGCATGGTGCTCATACCTGATGAGTTTTTTTCTACGTGTCAAAATGATACAGATAACAAACAGAAAAAACAGCAGACAGTATTCTGACAAGACCGTAACTCCAGCAGTGAAATGGTAACCTAAACCACAAAAAAGTCTCAAGCTTCATTAGTTTGTGTCAGGCAGGAGAAAAATTACTCAGGTGATCTCTGAATTAGATGCTGTGCCAACAAATTCTCCAACTTCCTAATTGTCTGTTTTTCCCCATTCTGACAGAAATGATTTGAATAAGCAAATATAAATATGTATATTAAACAGTGAAATATGGGAATGCATTTGCATGAATGTTGTAAAGAGTTATAGAAATTAAGCTCTTAAAATGTGAAGACATTTTGTGATATATACTTATCACAACAAAGAAAGGAAACCGGTTTTATTATTTATTCTTTTTATATATTCTTTTAAATAGCTCCTTAGAAGTGAAAAGGTGACCGTAGGGGTCTCAAAGACCCCTAATGTCACCTTAACCACTTGGTGCCCAAAGCAATTTCTTACATTTGCACACACATGATAAAATCTGAATTTTTGGCTAGAAAACTGCTTCAGACCCCCAAACAATGATCTATTATCTGAAAGCAGAGGCTCTGTAGAACAAAAATATTCTAGTTGCAATTTATGTTGCACGGTATTTGCGCAAATGTTTATCAAACAAGTATTTTTAGGATAAAATACACTAAAACAAAATTTCATGCACAGAAACAGAGTACAATACCCAATTTTTTTGTAAAATATAAAAGATGGGGTCACACCGGAGATAGATACCAAACACGTCAAGCCTTCAAATTATGTGCATCCGTGAAACCGCAAAAACCTACAATAACCAAAATTTCCCATAGGCGAAGGTTTAAATGCTTTTACCGCTCATCAGTTTAGTGTTACCAGTGATTGATTGGCCTAGAATTATAGCTCTCACTTCGACGCTTGTGATGATATGTAACATGTGTGGCACAATTTTCGTTTTTGCACATAGGCACATCCGATGTGTGTTTGCGTTGTATGTGCGTGCACGTGGGGGGGACTTGAAAACTTTTTTTTTTGCATTTTTAATCGGTTACTTAAATTTTTGCAAATTTGTTTTACACTACGCTTTATTGCCATCACATAGGGGGCCAACAAGCCCCCTTTGTAATAGCACATATAATGTGACAGGTCCTGTTTATGGAGACATCAGAGGTCTTTCAGATCCCCAATGTCACCTAGGGACCCCAAACATGCTAATGAATCAGAGATCTGCTTCAAGAGCTTCTTCTTCTGGCTCTAGGAGTCGGAGAATGTGCCCAGTGACACTGGAAATGATGTAATGCACATCACTTCCGGGCTCACTTGGGGGACAGTGGAGCCCGGGAAGCTGACGGCGGCACTGGCGGTGGGTGGACACACACTGCAGCACCGTACAAGAGATCTGGCGCCTGTACGGATGCCGGATCGCTTGTTTTTAAAACAGCAATCGTCTACTGTTTAAAACGGCACCAAGAACATGGCAGCAGCCATGTTCTTGGTATAACCACTTCCAGGGGATGACGTACATTTACGTGAACCTGCTGGAAGTGGTTAAAGAGAACCCGTCATCTCCAATGTGCTATCAGCACATTGGAGATGACATTTTGAGCACCCACAATAAGAAAGTTAACAAAAAAAATGTAAACTAAAAAGTAAATAAAATGTAAAAATACAAAAAAAAAACAAAAAAAAAACAAGCAGCAAGTCCCCCGCATGCGTGCAAACACTCCTCTCACCTGCATTGGAACGTGCGGCACCATAATGCCATGCAGTGCGACTGAAAAAAATTGTGCATGCAGTTTTATTCTGAAGAAAACTTTTTTGTGACACTCAATTTGTGTATTTTATTTTAACCACTTGCCGTCTGCCCATTGTCAAAACCTGGGCGGACGCTTCCCGAAGGGTGGACGTACATGTACCGGCTGTTACATACAAGGGTTCGGCCTGCTCTACAGGTGGCCGATCGCTTGTATGACCACACACAGTTCACAGCAGCTGCCTGTACAGAGAATGGAGGAGAGATCAGCATTCTCCCACGATGATCTCTCTCTCTCTAAAGGCGGACGCGATGTGTATTACATCACTTCCACCTTTAGCTGTCATTTCTCTGGCTGCTTTAGCCAGAGAAGAAGCTGGTGAAGCAGATCTATGTTTCATCAGCTTCTTTGGGGGTACCAAGGTGACATTAGGGGTCTTGGAGACCCCTGATGTCTCCATAAAGAGGACCTGTCATTGTATATTGGCTATCACATAGGGGGATTTTTAGCCCCCTATGTGATAGCAATCAAGTGTAAATAAAACATTTAAAAAAAAAAAAAACACCAAAAAATGTGTTACATATTGCCGCGAACGTCTGAGTGTTATCAATAATCCTAGGGCCATTAATCACCGATAACACTAAACTGATGAGTGGTAAAAGCTTTTAAAGTATTGCCTATGGCCAATTATAGGCATGGTAGTTTTTTGCAATTTTGCGGGCACATGCAATTTTAAAGCTTGACATGTTTGGTGTCTATTTACCCAAAATGATGCCATCTTTTGTTTTACCAAAAAATTGGGTACTGATAAATGTTTCCCAACATAATAAAAGGGAAAACAGGTTGTAGTTTTCTACACTTCTACTTTTCTGAACTTTTGTCGTTATATAGTAAAAAATTAAAAACCCAGTGGTGAATAAACACCACTGAAAGAAAGCTCTAGCTGTCCCCAAAAAATAGTAAGTAATTTTAGTACAGCTTTGCATGATGGAATAAATGTCAGTCAAAAATACCGCAGTGCTGAATACTGAAAAATGGCCTGGACAGGAAGGGGGTTTATAACCCCAGTTAGAAAGTGGTTAAATTAAAGATGATATTTATTTATTTTACTATCTGATTAATCTAAACAAAAATTATTGGCCAACTAATCGATTATGAAAAAAATTCATTAGTTGCAGCCCTACACTGTGTGATGTTAAGGGGTACAGGGGATAGTCCTAGGTCCACATCCCTTTTCTGTATGTAGGACAGTGGAAACTGGGTGCCTCATAACAGAACTTCTTGCAATTGAGCAAAAACTTTCCCCTCAAGATCCATTAAAATTGTAGACTTTCAAGGTTTCTTTACAACACTGAATAACCCGCAGCCATCTTCCTTCTGTTATAATGCTGAAACAGAATTACAAGTTGCTGTCGGTTTTTACAATGTTCTGAAAGATCATTGCTAACCACTGTAATTGTAAGGAAAGAGTCAGAAAACCATAACTATTAGAAAATAAATATATCTGAAGCTTGTTAATGAATTACAACATAGTTTTGCTTAGTACTGCTGATCTATGCCTAAAGGCTTTAGCAATTTACCTTTGTGCAAAGTTTCGGGAGTTTGAGGGCCAAAGAAACCATGTCAGGAAGAATGGATCTAAACAGATGTGTGCGCTCAGCGTCTTCCATTACCTGCACAAGAACAGAGAGAAATGCAAACAGTTAATAAAGCTAAACATGTTGTCAACAGATAGACCACTGGCATTTTACAGTTCAACGGAATATGATCTGTTAATTAAGAAATTTGATACAATTTCTGAAAGTGTCTGAAACAAATTGTCTCTGACAATCTACCTTTCCTCTAGTAACCAGATGCTTTCTTCCACGCTGCTCTACTGTAAGGTATCTGAATCTGATCGGTTACTATGCAACCGTTTCCCCCCATACACTTTCATAAACATCACTGTTTTTACCATTATCATAACATTTTTAAATAGCATGCCTTTTTGGCAATTTTTTTCTACAGGAAGTGAGAGAAGCAAAAATAGAAAAAAGAAAAAAACATATCCAATGAATGGCTGTTCTTACAAATATTTTATTTTATAAATAAAAAGCTAGGGAACCCCTCGTTGCTTTGAGGTTTTGACCCAATACTACCATGTCTACTACCCAATACTACCATGTCTACAGTGAGATGGAATACAGGAAGTGAGAAAGCTAGGGATGTCCAGTCGCAGACAACTCTACAAGTTTCTACATTTCAGGTCATTTCTAGCAACCAGCCTGTGTTAACCTGGTCATACGTGCCAAAATCTGATTGTACTATCTATGTATTGTAACAGAACAACAATTTTGTTAGGTAATGGCATATATTTCTTTAACGCACTGCTTCAAGCTATGGGAAAAAAACCTGTAGGCAAAACCTGGAAGGATCTAGTGTTCAAAAAAAAAAAAGAAGAACACGACTTTCCTTAAAATAAATAACTAAATAAACAGTGCCAGCCTCTGAAGGAGTAAACATTGTGCTGGTCCTCTTGGCTCAGCCATTCAAGCCAAACGTTCTTCTTGAAAAAAGGTTCATCTTTATATTTACAATATCTGAACTGCAGGGACACTTTTTCTTGGTAATGTACAGCAGACTGTTTTCCAGTCTGTCATTGCATAATGGCCTTTGCACATATTATTCCCCAAAACTAAAATCACTTCTGAAGCATCCTTGAGAATTAAATACACTGAATCACAGAGTATTGCTAGCTGTCATAATAAATAATAGCTTGTATGACTGGGGCCTGACACCAAGCCTTTGTATGTGACATATGAATAGAAAGCTGTCATGCTTTATTGAATGTGTATAGCATTCATCAAAATATATGTATGTAACCCCGGTTATAGAACGAAGCCACCATACTAAAGGCCTCGTTACTGAAATACGTATGCTAAATGATATAAAAGACAAAAATAACAGATAAAAAGGTGTTATTTTTTAAAAGTGACATGTTATTTATAGAACAAAATAAAAGATAATTTCACTGCTGTTTAGGCAATTGTCTAAGTATCAAAGGCTGGAACTCACACAAACTAGAGTAGGACTATGCAGCACAGAGGTGCCCTGACACACCTATGTACCTTATGCAAATATTTGCAAAAGGTATGTAATGATTTTTACCTTTCAACAGATCGAATAGGTGCTGTTTGTGGAGTGGAAATTTTGTGTGTGTTGTGCTCTGACTTTTGTGTCCGAAATTGAAAGGACCACTCATCACCAGTGGGACCTCAAACAATGAGCAAGCACACAGAGCATCATTATATCTGGAGCAGATTTCACCAGTCTATCCAATCTAGTAACCAACAGACGACAGCGTTATTTATTGTACGTAAATTGGCTCCTTAGCACTACCTGGCGGTGATAATCAAAAATGGGACTCGTTGCTTTAACCTCCCTGGTGGTATTCCCGAGTCTGGCTCGGGGTTAACTTTCAATACCAGGAGCGGTAACCCCGAGCCAGACTCGGGAATGCACAGAAAAGTGTCACTTACCTTGTCCCTGCTGTATGCGGCCGGCATTCGAGTTTTAGTTTATTTTTCGGGCGTCACAGCGGGGGGCGGAGCCGGCGGGAAATTCAAAAGTGAAAAATGACATTTACACAGAATACAATGTAATCTGCTATGATTACACTTATGTATCAAATTATTTCACTTCAATGTTGTCCCTAGAGCTTTGTCCAGTGCCCTGCCTGCACTTTTACTGTTCTTTCTGCCTGGAAACTAGTTAACGTCCATGGCATCCAAAAAGAGTCCCTTTAGGTCAAAAGCGGTTTTAGACCAGTTAGAAAACAGCGTTAGTAAATTAGAATCACTTGCAGAATTGAGCGATAGCGATTCTTTGGGAAATTCGTCCTCAGACACTGAAAGTCACTTTGAGCTATAGCGATTCGTTGGGAAATTAGTCCTCAGAGTCTGAGGACGAATTTTCTAATGAATTGCTATCGCTCAATTTTCTTATAATTATTTATAAATTATTATATTATAATTTTTTAATTTCGGGTTTCAAACTTTATCATACCCGGGATGTCTACTGGACTCTTGTTAGACAGATTTAGGTAAGTTATCCCTAACATTTACTAAGAATTACAGGCCTACAATATAAAACAACAAATTTCCATGAAAAACAATGTACCGCTTTGGGATGCTAAAAACCTGAATAATCATACCGCCAGGGAGGTTAAAGAAGCTGGAGCTGGAGTGTGAACATGGAATATCTGGGGTACTTCATGGTAGGTTCAAGGAAACTTCAATTTAAATCTGGTCAGTATCACCAAATCGAGCAAATGCTCTACAAATGAATTGAATAGCATTTGACATCTTTGGGTCACCAGTCCTTAAAAAAAAGGTTCAAGAAATACTACAATGAAGATTAGACAATAACAGCCGAATTACTAAAGGGAAATAGGCTGTTAACTTTGTGAAGGAATTTGCACTTTGCAGGGAACTTTTCCTCTCAAGGTGCCCATACACTGCTCGATTCTCGTACGAGAATCGCGGGAAATCCCGCGATCGTACGAGAATCGAACAGTATGAACGAAGACGCGCAACCGTTTCTACTGTACGGTCGCACGTCTTTTGTCTAAGGAGCATGTTAGAAAACCAGCCGAGAATCGTACGATTTCGGCTGGTTTGAACGGTGCTCGGGAGACAAATGCCGAACGGGCCGGTGTGCGCACGCGCACACTGCCCGTTCAGCATTGCGGTCATCGGAAGCCCGCCCCTCAGGGGGGCGGGCTTGCGATGATCGAGAGTGCGATTTGCCTGTCCAAGATGGGCAGATCGTACGTTTTTTTAATCACTTTATAACCATGGCAAGACTAAGGTCTTGCGATGGTTGTACAGTGTATGGCCACCTTTAGTTTAGTGAATGAGGTAAAGCTCTGCTAATTTTCATGATCCAATCATGTGCAAACAAAAATACTGTTTTAAATTTTCCTTGCACATGAGTTTGTTAAGGTGCAAACTTCTTTGCAAAGTGAACAACCTATTTGCCCTTACTGAATAAAATAATATTTTATATAAATTGATGAAGCAATCAATATACTCACTTTTTCATACAAAAAGGTGTATTGATGCCCAACTTCGTTACTATCCCATAATGTTATACCAGATAGTGTGTGTGTGTGTGTGTGTGTGTGTGTGTGTGTGTGTGTGTGTGTGTGTGTGTGTATATATATTTATTTCTATACACACACACACACTGTACATGCAAGACCTGAGAAATACATGAGGGCTGTTCCTTTAAAGAAGCAAAAATGCCTATCACTGTATTAACAGAGGCTGGAATAAATATTGCCATAAGTAATGACCCTGTGTCAGCGTACACTGCTCCTCTGAAGGTAATGATCAAGCTTGCCTGACAGCCTAAACAAGATGAGGAGACGGCACTGGCCACTATTAAAAAAGAAAAAAAATCCCCTTTGCTTGACAGCTCATCAAATCATACAAAACTAACACATGACGCATGATCCCGGACAGACCTATCCATCACACCACAAGGAGGAATAATCAAGATAGAAAATGCCGACTGCATGCAAAAAACATCACAGTTTAGCATCTTCTCCATTTTTAGGTGTCAAGATATTTTATTTCAATCCTTCTAATTCTTGACCGATTTAGAATAATTTCTTTCAAAATATTAATGTAGTCTTCAGCCACCAAGCAGAGATTCTGGGAACTACCTTTAACTGGTAAAGGATCTGAATTTGTTTCTTAAACCTAATTTTACCCAGACACTGGGTAATTCTGATACTTGCACTAGTTTATGAAAAACAGAAAACATCCTTCCTAACAACAGTCATCAGAAAATGCCCACACTTGTAAAACCCTGAAATTACCATATGTAACTAAGTGGTTTGAAAAGATAGGTAGTAATAGTAAATTAGAGAAACCTAAACATTACAGACTGGGCAAACACTATATTCCATTAAAAACCATGAGACTATACTAATTAAAGTAAAAGTAAACCCTCCCTCCAAAAAATAAATAAATGAATCATTAAATACACTTCTGCTACATATGCTGGATCACTGTGCCATAGGTTCCAAAATGCCTTCTAAAACGAATTTTAACATTTTTTCAACACTGAATTGGAACTGAATTCAAAAAGTGAAGTGTTAATTAAGCCTAGGCATAGTTACATAGTATTTGAGGTTGAATAAAGACATACGTCCATCAAGTCCAACCTATTAGGATCTAATTCTAGGAGTACCTGTACCCCTGTATATTACGGTCCCTTAAGAAATCGTCCAAAAGTTTTCACCTCTGTCCCTCCTAAACAGGTTATACCCCTCTGGACAGTCATGCGTGCTGTCCAGCCAGGTGGCAGTAGGCTGAAAGATTTACCTTTTGTCTTCAATCCATCCTGGTCCCATCCCTCCTCACCTTCTGGTACCTGAGGGGCCTAAACCCTTGTGCATATATAGTCTCATTGCTGGATATCTGCAGTGTAAGATCTAACGCACTGCTGAATCTGACTGCTAGTCTCAGATATACAGTAAGATTTTGTTTAGCAAACATCCAAGAGTTTATTACTTCACTTGTGAGGCAGAGGCTTAAAATTGTCAACAGGAGGCCTGCTCTACAGTGCTATTTCTGCCAGGATCACCAGGGAAGAGATATTGAAGTACTTCCTGGAAAAAGGATTG